GAATGTGTGGGTAATCCCCTCTGCTATGTGACAAGACTTATTAAACCTGGGAGAGGTTTCACCTGCTCAACGGTGAGACTGTTGTCACTCATGTGACTTAGCCTTTTGCTTTTACTCGCTGTAATATATGCATGTGTAAGTGGATCCTCTTAGAGCAGGATAACTCCTTTTAAGTAGCCTTAAACACTACAGGAGGGAAAAAAATCCAGTCACTTCTTATTTGCCTCTGCACTTTGGTCTTTTAATGCAAGATACTTACATCCTAGTGATTATTTCCACTGCACTGGGGCCTGTTTCTTGTGTCGCAAAACTTCTGGTTAACTACTAATGGACGATGTTGTCGCTGTTGTTTAGAGCTCACTGGTTGATGCTGAAGATGAAGCAGTCAGTCAGTGAGTTTTGATGACGGAGAAGTTTGACTGAACCCTGGTCGTTTGTGTGAGTATGGAGGTGAACCTGAGCGAGCCCTGCTGGCCTGCAGAAAGAGAAGTGATTTGATTGTGGGGCGGGGGCACTGAGTGAGTCAGTGGTGGCAGCTTTGGGATGGGGACGGTCACACACAACCACACTCTTTGTATGCCTCTAATCCCCCCAGCCAACACAGCCTTGGCCAGGTTTCATCATGAAAGTGCCATGAAATAACTACTTTTTTTCTCTCCTTGCAGTAAATCTCCCCTAATCCTGTGGGCTGCAGAGACAAAGGCCTCTGGGACCTAATCCTGGAGCTTTTAGCGGGGCTGAGGGGCTGGCCAACGGAGCCTCTTCTAAATGACTTATTTCTATCGGACACTAATATAGCTTGACAGCCAAGAACAGCAAAAGGAGAAGAAAAAAAGCCAGGGAGAAAAAGAACACAAACATTTCACATATTTTGGAAGACTGAGCTGAGGAAGAAGTGAACCGTGGTTATTGGTGTACACACTCCAAGTACACAACACTTAAGATGTCTCCCAGGTTTCTCCCCTTTCTGCCAAGTTAATATGCCTTTTTGTGGAGCTTTTTTTTTTATTTTTTTTTTACTGAAGGTCTAAGCATTTTGTCTAAAGGTGTTGTGTGTTGTACACTGTGCCCTCTGAGACAATTTGTGATTTTGGGCTATATAAATAAAAATGACTGCCTAATGCACAACAACTGATTTCACACAGTTTATTTGGGTGAGTAACAGGTGTGGACATACAGTCAACTATTTATATACATGAAGTAAAGTTAGATGGTTTTACATCATGGCAAAGGTCAAAGTGTCAAGGCACTCCACCAGTTTTATGCTCAAGCTGAGTTCACTCATCACAAGAAGAAGAAGTTATTACCAACCCTTTGAAAACAGCTGTTGTACTGTACGTCTTCAGTGGAGGGATGTATCCTGGATGATCCAGGGCTTAAGACTAATGAAATAAAATAAAACAGGAAAAAAATGTGTTACTGACTTGGAAGTCCGGAATTAAGATGACGCTAGGAGGCACAAATGTAGCCTGTGGTGCATTATGGGAAATGTAGGATGCGGGGATTCATGGGTTTTGTAGCTTTACCCATACTAGCAACTAAGAATCAGGATGTTTCAGGCTCTGCTGCTCTGATTTGAACCAATCAGAGAATTCTCCATACTGAATTTAACTTAATACAATTACAAAAATATTATCAGCAAAAGTAAGTATCAACAGTAAGGCACCCTAAACGGAAAGGACGCCTTTCAGAGTGGTTTAATCAACAATAGTTCGTATTTTATCAATTACAATATTCTGTATGTATGAATCTGACCGATATTTGCAACAAAGAGGCCTTTATGACCTGCCCCTCAAATGTAGTGTAGCAGAAGTAATAGTATCGTAAAATAAAAATACTCAAGTAAAGAATCCCAAAAACTGCATTTGTGTTTGAGTCAGTGTACAATAACTTTTCTATACGGTTTATAAAGTGTAGAGAAAGTAATGATGGTGATAATATTTGCAAAAATGATAACTTGGCATCAGATGACTTCATTTAGGTGATAGCTGGATGTTTTTCCTCTTCCTGGGAAGAACTCTTATCTTGGCTGGATTTTAAGAAACATATTCAGATTAACTTCACACGGTGACAGTGTATAGGCAAAATATGGCGCCTGTTAGCAAAACAAACCCTGAGAGAAAACCCCCTCCGAGGGGAGACTTACAAAACCAGCGGTATGGGAGAAAGAGAGCTGAGCAGGAGAGGACAATCAAAGGCTGTTATTTTAATCTGTCCTGCCTGGGAGATTAGCCGACCACATTGTTTTAATTGTTTTAACGGGGGGAATGAATCGCTCGCTTACAGGGGGATCCTTGGCATAAATCTCTCAAGTTCAATAGTTTCAAAACCTTGAGCCCATTGCAACCCCCCTCTCTTCCCTCATCCCACCTAATCCCGGCTAATACCTTTCTTTCTATTGGCTAATGGCTGAGGGGAGCCTGGGTAAATGCTTCTTAAATAGCCGTGGGTGTGAATGGTTTTGGAGACTTGGGTCCGTATAACGACACAGACCGGTGGTGTTCGAAGATTTAAGGCCAAAACTTGACCAGGTAATACTGGACTACAACTAATTAGGTCGACTTCTGTGCGTAAATACGCACCTGGATCTCACGCTTCTGCTCGGAATTTGGATCACAGGTAAACAGCCAAGGAACCTACAATCCTGCGTGGATAGAAACCGTTTAACGATATGTTCATCACGGAAACATCGTAGAAGGATGGGACCATTTTAGCAGCTATATGGATATCAAAGAAATCCGATTTTTGAGTTGTGACTTCTGAGTCAGAATGTTGCTTCTATTGCTGTAAAACGCAAAACAGATGTAAAACTGGGTGCAAGATGTGAGAGCTCGAATGAGTTTCATCTGGGCCATGTAAGACCAGATAACGATAGAAATGTTCGAATCCCTATTTTCTCAACGGAACTTTTAGCAATTCATTCAGACATATTCATTAACTTCAAAAAAGTGAGTTCCTAATCTGAACAGTGATTATCCGCCAAGAAAGAAAGGCATGGTAAAGATTTAGTCAGATCTAATGCTGGTTTGTCTGATAACGAATTCATTTTTAGATGTGTGTATTTGTTGCTGATCCTTTACAACTAATTAAATTAACAAATAAAGTGTATTTCAAAACATTTTAGAAGCAAATTGCACTCATGTGGAAACTATTTGAGACTGGGAGAAGCCTACATTTCTCCTTCAGTATATTATAATGATATATTTCCTTGTTCTTAGACTCAATATGAACCCCCTGAATTTCTGCGGGGCACCCAGCAGTGCAGCGTACCCCCTCCATGGTGTTAACTCCATGCTGTTTGAGCTGCCCCAGCAGATGGCGGAGCAGTACCACGCTTACTCTACAGCAGGCCCCACAGTGCACAGCCTGACTGTGGCCGAGAGACTGGCAGGTAGGTGGTTACAGTCCTGCACAGACCCTCAAGTGACAACGTAGAATCTAACTGTTTAGTTTGATTTAACTAAGGTTCCTTCACTTTTTTAGAACTGATGAGTCACTTTATGGTTTATCAAGTATGACATTCAGTATGTTACATGCAAACCTTTCAATTAATGGATGGCAAATACAAAGAGGGGCTATGGTGGAACGTAACTAAATAACTCTCTTTACGTTCTGTACTTAAGTACAGTTTGGAGGTACTTTTACTGTACTCAACTACATTTATTAATTCAACTCTATGCTAGCAGCCTTACAGATTAATACATTTCAACAAAACATATGACCATCTTATAAAAAAAATCATTATAGATTAACCAGCAGTATATAATATAGCATAACGATATATAGTATAACAACAGTAATATGCTACTTAAACATTGACACCTCAGTCACATAATATCATGTCTAGTAGTATAGCACTTAGGGGATATTATTCAGGATGACTACTTTTAATTTTAATACTTTGGTACATTTTGCCAGTAACACTCACTTTTAGTTTTAAGGTTTTCACAGCCAGTCTCGTATTTGTGATATTCAGTGTGGTATACCTACTTATAAAGGATCCAAATACTACTTTCCTCACCACTACAAAAAATAGGTTAAAAATGGTCTATTGTGCCTATTATAGCTTAGAGTGTAAACTAAAGAACTGCTGATTGTTTTGGAGATTCTTGCCTTAGAAGACCATACTTTCACATGGCATTCATCTGATGCAGCATCCACCAATAGACAAGTCACTGCAACTTTATGAAGAATGCCTAAAGGTTTATGTTAGCCTAAAAAGGAGGATGAACTCAAATCACACTGGGTCTATTTTGATCAAACCTCCACAGAATCTCTGACAACAGCAAAACAAATCAGGATGCTCCTTAAGTTAATCTTTCTGCTGACTCAAAGTATATTTGGAGAACAGCTTTGTGTTTCTCTCCATCCCACCAGAGCTGATTCTGGAGGCTCGTTATGGGAACCAGCAGAAGCAGCGCCGCAGCCGCACGGCATTCACAGTGTCCCAGCTGCAGGCTCTGGAGAAAGCCTTCCAGCAGACACAGTACCCAGACGTTGGCATGAGAGAGAGGCTGGCCATCTGCATCAACTTGCCTGAGGCTCGCATTCAGGTGAGAGCACACTCCACCCGGCGCCAGACTGCCAACCTGAAACAATACAGCATGTTTGTAACTGAGGTGAACATTTACCTGGAACACAGGAGTGAAAGCCTGCTGCATTCACCTTTTGATGTTAATATTAATTCTTATACATATATTTTATCAGGCTTATAACTAAAGTATTAATTTTATGTGTGTTTTTGCTTTTGAGGTTTTCACTTTTTGTTATATTAATTTGCTTTTATGCTGATGTTAACACTAAGTTGCTATTGTATATGAAAACAAATTGACTTTGTGGAGTACAAATACACTACAGTACAGGATATCTATACAGTACTTACTTGTACATACCTGTTTATGTATAAGTTTGTAAAATTATCTAGGCTGTTTCATTAAAGCACTTCGCCACAACACAAGAGAGTATACAACAGACTTGCACTAATTACAGTTTCAGACAGATATTCATCTGAGTCATTGCTGTTTTTCTTATTTGTTTGTATTTGTCAGTCTGTCCCATGTGTTTGTCACCTCTCACATCTTTTCTATTTTCATACATGTATTGCATCTAAATTTGTATATTCACACTGTATTTTATTTTAGTCATTTAAAGTTCATTTCTAGTTCATCCATCACAGCCAATCCTAGTTTACATAGGGCAAGAGGTGGGGCACTGGGTCTCAAACCCAGAACCTTCTTGTTATGAGATGATAGCACTAACCACTGTGCTACCATTTAAAACTGAAATGTTTATAAAGCATTTTCATGTTCCCTTGTGCATCAACCATGCTAAATTAATAAAGTTACCTTTGCCATTTATTCTGTCTCCTCCAGGTGTGGTTCAAGAACAGGAGGGCAAAGTTCCGCAAAGGTCAGAGGTGCTCCCCACTCTCCAGAGACCACAATCTGGAAGAGGCTCCACATTGCAGCAAGGTGGAACAAGAGGAAGCCAAGACTGAAGACAAAAAGGACATCATCATATCACACACTGACAGAAACATTCCACTCCAGCCTGCTATGGTTAAAAGTGGGGATGTTTTCCCCCCTCTCACCCCTGCAGACTCTGATGTGTCACTATACCCCCTCCGATTACACTCTCCTCCACTCTTCCCCTTCATGACAAGGGAGTGCTACAGCCGCCCACTTCACCAGTCCACAAGGATAGCGCTATCTACTGAATTTGCCCTCCCCCCGGTGTTTTGGCCCATCATACAGCAGCACAGCTCCGCCCTAGGGGTTCCTTCATCATTAGTTACTAAAAACTGTAGTCTCTCACTTCAGACTGCCTGTTCCAGTGAAGCTGTGCCTCACCCTCACCTGGGGCTGTAACTGATGTGGACGTACAGGCTCCATCTGACACATGCAGCCTGAGATATCTGCTCCTTGTGGAGTCACAAGTGAAGACAGGATAACAAGGTAGAGAAGCATCTACTGTACTGCCTTGCTCCTGTAAACCTGAGTACAGACAGTGCACAGAGCATGAATTTTTATTTTTTGAGTTTAACTAAATGCCTGTATGTCTAAATGGATTTAAGCTGTGCTGTGACATCCACACAGAGGTTTTATTCTTTTAGTAGATAACATCTAAGTTTGGCTTTGATTTAATCAACATCCACAAGGTGGTTTTTGTTTTTCAGTGGTATGAGTTTGTTTGAAGGAGGCATTTTGGTTCCAGACAACAAGCAGTGTAATCACCACATTAAAAAGCTATTGTATCTTTCAGCATTATTTAGGTGGCTATGCTGCAAGGTAGCATTTCAGAGGAGCTCCTTATTGTAATAAGCACTGCCACATAGAAATATGAAATAAAACTATTTGCACCTGTATTCTTCATTTTCTGTTCTTTTGGTTTTCATGAGGCTTAGTATTGCCTCACACACAATTATTCAATTCTGTCATTGACCAACAGAGAGTTGTATTTCAGGGACACAATCATATTGTTTTCCAAAATTCAGTTTAATTGTTTTAGATTTCATATATCACT